TGACAGATAAACCTCCTTAGGATAGAGGTTTATTTTCTTCTATTTCTCTGTTTATTATCAACATCTGGACCAAACCTGTCATGCCATTTCTAGCAAGAAGGGAAAAAAAATTCCCAAATTACCTGTGTGCTTTTTCACACTGTGGCTCCACAGCGCCCTTTAGTTTCTACAGCTGAGATTGCAACAACTCCAGGACCCACCCTGGCAGAAAAGGCAAGCTGAGGAAACACTGGGGAGTAGCTCTGCCTGATCCCAGGGGCATTTACATCTGCGTTAGCCAGAGAAACTCCTGATGTTCAAAAACGGACCAGTAACAACTGCACCCAATAAGGAATATGCTCACAAAGCAATTACTCCTCAGCAACTGGTACAGAGTAAAAAGCCACCATGTACTGCAAATGGAAGGGCCCCTCTCTTGGTTTTAGGAAACCTACAAAATGGTTAAATAATGACTACTTTTAATCACTTAAGAATGTGTACCATTTGTCTGGGGAAATGAAAGAACCCTTGCAGCAAAGCGTGGATGGCACATCCCCTCCCCTAACTTTCCATGAACACCAGATCAGCTCACACAGAGCATATGCACACCAGTTGTTTTTATGTCTTTATTGTCTGGGAGAGAAGTTGGTGGAGCTTATGCAAAGCAGGGAAGACAGCCCTACTTTGAGAACTGTTTCTTACACTTCAGGGCTTTGATGGCTGATGAATTCCTGGAGCAGAGCTTGCACTTCTCCTCGCCGACTCATCTTGGTTGCCTTGCCCTGAAAGCGGCCTCGCTTCCCAGCTCCTTTGCCTCCCAGCAGCTCTGCCACCCTGCAGTAACAACAGTACAGGCTGAAGGCTGCTCACTTGCAGAGAAGAGAGTGGCCTGGCCTAACCTGCTCCAGAGAGCAAACACGGATCCATGCCCTAATTATACTGCTCAGCTGCTTCATCTGCAACATTAGAATTCTTACTGATTTTAAAGAAACTGTAGAACATGTTACCTGGGACCTAAACTCTCAACTGCTTCAACAGGTCCAGCTAGAAGGAAGAGTCCTGCTTCTTTTTCATCTCCCACAGTGAGGAACAGCAGGGTTTCCTGTGGACAGAAAGATGGATCTTGCTCCAGAATAACCAGTGCCCTCCTTGTCTGGGAAGAGGACAAAGACACTGGCCACAGGACCCATCCAAGCATGCAAACAATTCAGAGGTTTGTGTGCGTTACTGAGACAGAGACTCAATTTGAAGAAAAGGCAGGGGGGCTTTTGAACCTTTTATGCTCAATCATATGTTGTGGGGGACAGAATGGGTACTGGGGTATCCTAAGTTAAAAGGATATGGTTGGCAGTTGGACTAGATGATCGCTGTAGGTCCCTTCCAACTGAAACAGTCTATTCTATTCTATTCTATTCTAAAACAGCCGCTGAGGTTCTGTACAGCTCTTTGGGGGACCGGGTCTTCTACAGTGCTCTGAATTTTCACTGTTGTATTTCTTGACTGTTGAAACTGAGGCTGCTCGGGACAATAACCTCATGTAACTTTTCAAAGGAAACAGACCTGTAGCTTGTGACTATGGTACAAACAAAAGCCTGTCCCTGCCTGTGCTATAGGTTGAATGAAAAAGCCAGTGGTGCCAGGTTAGTCTTCATCAGTGACTCACCTCTGTCCCAATCTCATTAGCGATGATATTCATAAATTCAGAGTCACCCTCTTTCCTGCATGGATGGGTAAAAAACAACACTTCAGAAAGAAGCAAAAATCCCCTCTAGAGTCCAAAATATCAATCAGAAACCAAAGGCCTGATCAGGCCTGGGGTTTTCACCTCTTGCTGTTAGGATGGAGATCAGTTTTTTTCTATATATCTAAATCCTTCATTGTGCATTGGACATATTAGGAATTATTTAAGTGTTTATCTTTAAGAAATAGAGCTCCTCAGTTTTATTTGAAACTATCAAGGGCAGAGAGAAATTAGATAGACACAGTTATTTCTCAGCTATAAAACCAGAAGAATTCAGTGACTGAATTACTAACACATTCCTTTAATTGCACAACCTTCCAGCAGGCTGAGACAGTTTAATATTCTATTAATCTTGTTTATATTCTTCCTTGAGAAACAAGCCTGAATAGGTGTCAGAGAGATGCTACAAAACGTGTAAGATGCCATTTTACCCTTCTCCCTGAACTCCCCCATACCTGTGTAACACAAACAGCTGACTTTGAGCAGGTTTGCTCTTGAAGTCCCGGGCTATCAAAACAGCAATGTCTCTAAGCAGGTTCAAGTTATTCTGAAAGAAAAGCAAATAAACTGTACTGCAGATGGAGAAGTCAGCATGAACACTGAGTTGTGTTCCCAGAGGTGGGAGCAGTTTTCATAATATCCACAAAAACTCATGTCTATGATTCAATTCCCAGTTATCATGATTAAAGCTCAGGACTACAGGAAGCAGCCACAATGTGCTTTTCTCAGCCATCCTCATACCTTCTGAAGCACTTTCACAGAACTCTGCAGTCTTTTCACTGCCTCTATGTGCTCACCCGGTCCATTTCTGAAAGAACAAGGAGAATTTGGATCACCATTCTGAAGGACAAAGAAAAGATTTCTTAAAGGAGCAAAAGCAGATAACATCATAAAAAGCACCGCGTAGATGTACCCTGAGTCTTATGTGGTATTTGTCAGAAGGAATAGTAAAGACGAAATAATCAAAGTGGAAAGGGTATTACTTGAGCAGTGAGGTTAGAGCCTTCTCAGTACTGTGACTTTGCTCGATTGACTTCAGCACTCTGTTCCCTGCCAGGAAAACCAAGTTGGTTTTGTTCTTTTTCCCTTTTTCTGTGCCAAGGAGTTTAATAACCTTAAAAAGAAAATAACCCTGGTCAGAAAAGAACAGTACTTTGCTTATACTCACACAGGTGGTCAGTTCCTACTAGACTATGCCTTGTTGTGAATACTGGCTCTCTGCCAGTGAAAATAAACTGATTAAAATCAGCCATAAGGTCAACATACAAAAAAAAAAAAAGGATGGTGATACAGTGGAATTAATACAATTTGCTAGTCATGCGCTGCACTCTGCAATGCATCTGGATGTCTCTGCTGAGATACAGACTCCAACAAATGACTGAAAAGACAGAAACACTTAAAGGCAACTCTAGAATTTTATCTCCACCTCCCTGCACAGAGGATTTCTCATTCATGACAAACACTCAAAAATATCAGAGCTTTAAGCAGAGGGAACAAATGGCTAGCAACCCAGCAATGCACCGCCAAACTGGCCCTCCGCAGAGGCATCAGCAGTTCAGCAAATATCATTGCTACAGACAAGGTCTGAGTTCTGCTACAAAGAAAGAAAGGAGCCTGACTGACGGGACAAAGACTGCCAACCTGGGTGAGGCCCTGCTGGGGCTCACCCAGCATGGGGCTTCTGCTGGGACAATTTCCAGCAGACCTTGGATCTCAGGACTTCTGCTGTGCTAGATCTGAATGTGTGGAGCGAGGTGCCCGAAGGCAGCTCAGCTGCAGCCCCCCACCTGCAAGTCACTCAGGTTGGAGACATGAGTCCCACAGCACATGTTGGAGTCTATGCCTTCGATGTCAACAACTCGCACTGGCCCCACATGGTCATCTGGCAAACCACGGCTTCTCACCTAGCAAGAGAACAATGGCAGACAAGGTGACATCCATACCGCAGTGATTCTGGTCCCACGGATATCATCAGTTCTCTTCCCACCACTCACTGTTTCAATTTCAGGGTCATCTGCAGCCAGTTCCCTCACCAACACGGGTACTCTCTCCCGGATTTTCTCATTCACACTCCTCTCCAGGGCCTCTATTTGCTCTACTGTCATGGAGGGGGTGTCCAGCTCAATGACACTTCGCTGACGGCCCAGCTCCCTGCACCGATGAAGAACATTTGCTGCTGTTGCTAAGACCAGCTAGAAGGTCCCTCTGTGCAGCACTAAGTGCCATCCCACTGCTGAGAATGTGGTGACTGAAACAAAACATACTTCCCTCCTCTCCCTGTTATTTACAGAGCACCAGATGCATACCAAACACTTGGAGGAGCACAAGACAGAGCAAATACTTTGCACAGCTTCTCTCCAGTTCAGTCACCTCTCCCAGGCTCTCTGAGCTCGAGTGAAATGTCCAAGGGCAAACTGCTTTTGATTTATCAACGTTCTGCTCCTTGCGGCCCAGCACAGTGGCACATGCCAAACAAGGTAAGACTTCAAAAGGAGCCTTTTCCCTGCTCACCATGAAGTTGTCTTGAATCCAAACATCTGTTCCGCGATGGCAGTGATGAGATGCTGTCCTGGAAGAGACGTGCAAGCAACACTTCGAGTGCCACTGGACACAGGAAAAGAGTTTTTCAGTCAGACTGTATTTTTTCTGCTGACATTCCCCATGACATTTGCAAATGTCCAGGCATGTGCTCGGCGCTGTGGGGCTTATGCTACTGCTTAGGAGCAAACAGAAGAGACAGCCATCGCCTCGTGGGCCTTGGGACCCCGAGAGCACCACGGCGCACGCTGAAGACTTCGAAGCGGGTTGAACTTTTCCTTCCAAACGTGTTTGCAGCGGGTTTGCTTACAAGCCAAGGGGAGCCCGCAGGGGAGGTGCCTGCCTTCCCAAGTGGCCCGGGGATGGGCTGTGCGTGCAGAGCTGTCGGGCTTCCCCCTCCCCCGGCCCAAGTGGGGACAGGCTGCGCACTGATCGCCCCCCCCAGCGGGGTGTTACCGGACGCCCATCGGTCGGGCCGGGGTACGGACCTGAGTG